TTTTATATAAAAATAAATGTATCTGGGTTTCACTCAGTGACAATATCTTAATCTTACATGCTAAAAAACCCAAATATCCTCTATATAATAATTACCATCATAAAGCAATTTTTGATTTATAAATGTTGTATTGGATCATCATTTTACATCTATAAACATGCAGAGGAGTAATAAAAAAGGTAAGTAATGTCTACATGAAAAGTACTTACTAAGGTCTGTTGTTTCAAGATCCACAGTGATATAAGAGGGTTCACCACTTGAACAAACTGGCTTGAACACTCCACGTGGTATAGGATCGGGGATTTTGTCTATGTCTATGTCAGCTGTGTGGCCAACTTCTGTACAAATGTAAACCAAAAAAAATTAAAAGAAATGGAATAATAACAAAGAGCAGTTGTTTATAAACATATCATGTCACAATAAAAAAAATAATGAGAGCCACGTTGAAACAAACACATGGATTTATACAGTCATTACAATTTGTTTTACTGAAAACACAGGTATATCAAGATGACTGGAAACTAACCTGACTGATATGTTGCCCCTTCGAGTGACTCTGTAGCTGACTGGTTGACAGCACGCTCTTTTTTCAAAAACAGGCGCCTTCCCTTTGTTGATGGCTTAGCAAAGGTTTCCTGACATTTCTGGCGTTTGATGGCACAATGCAATTTTGTAAACCATAAAAGCTTTTGCCTAAATTTTTTATCACATGGTTTTTATCATATCTCTTTTTCAAACTGATATTGTGCTTGCTTTTAAGTCTGGCTAATAAAGTGTTGTCGCCATCACCTTCAAGAATTTCAACTGGTGTACCTGCTTTTGCTAAAGCCAGTACAGCTTTCTCTCCACTCTCACTCTCCATGGAACGGGCACTTCCAAAGTGGTTTCGTACACATCGGTGTTGTCGTATTTGCTGACCAGGGCGATGACGTCTCCACCAATTGCATGTTGAACATTGTCTGTGGCATATGACACTCTTCAGAACCTTCTTCCCCATCTTTGACGAACTCATTAAAAATGTATGAGCTGAAATTTTAACATTAGCACCAAACTGAAAATTCCGTAAAAAATTACATCATTTAAGTACTTTCTTAATATTGATTGTAAAAATATAGTCAGACAGACAGTTGGGTATCGGATGCTGTAACATAACACATCATTTTGGGTGTAAGAGAGAACTTTCCCTGTTTCATCATTACAACTTGTCAAGTATTTATTTTCAAACTCTTAGGCTTGAATGTGGAGAGGAGGTTCTTTTTGATGGCTGTTTTTCTACATGTATTATGGTCAAACAGTTTACACTTTCTTTTATGCTGTCTCGGTGGTGAGGGAGATGCCTTTTCAGGGCACTCTGTTTCATTACTTGTTGATACAAATGCAGTTTGTAAGACAGACCTGAAATATTCTAAAACTGTTAGAAATATCTACATTATTCATTGGATTAAAAAAGTATATGTAACTGAAATATTTTAATTTAAAATTGATATTATGGCCTAAACATCAGCAAATTTTGAGAGCCGAAAGTGTAGTGTTTTTCGGATAAATGTCAATTCGAGTATGTACATATCTTTAACTTAAGCTCATATTTTCTCCACCACAATACAAACGCAATGATATATACAATTATATATTTTTATTATAAAAATTTTGCTGATGACATAAATGAATAAAATTTATTGAACAAGGAAAACTTATGTTAACAATATCCATGTATTTCAAGTGTATGTTAAAACAACATTACATTTTGGTGTTACTGTCACGCAAAAAGGTTGGAATTTATTTTTCGCTTGAAAAACAATTTGTCTATTATTCTATTAAAACCAGGACAAGCCCTGTAAAACAGCTTATGATATATAATATACATAACATACAAAATACATGAAACTTTCCATTCAATGTTACAATAAAAACTGTTAAACAGTTAACTTACTTGGTTGCTGGTGATGCATCTGGTAATGGTGCCACACCCAGATCTTCTATGAGACCATCCATGCTAGCTTCTGCCTCTATGGATTCTTTTTGGGAAATTTCACTTTAAAAAAATATTTGAAACTGTCAGTGTGTATATATTGTTGTGTGTGTATATGAATATATATATTTTTTTTGGGTTCTATGAAAGAAATTACAAAAGCACAATGTCAAGAGATGCCTCAATAACTTTAACATAAATTAAAAAGAATTGTTTTCCGTAAGATCTTCAAGAAATGTTTTTGACAATTGCAGTTTTACATCAAATGTTTGGATAAAATGTTGGTGAGAGAAAATTATACAAATTAATAAACACACAATCTAGGTTACCTCATTTCCTTCTGAAATGTGTTTTTGGCAGCTGTATCTATAGACTGCTTGGCAACAGACTCTACCAATCTTCCAGCACGCCTTTCCATATCCTGCAAACTCTTTCTATTCACTGGGGCAATGTTTAGGGTGGAGAGCATGTTGTTCACTTTCCCGGAACCACCAATGCTATCTATCATGGCTAAATTAAAAGAGAAAATCTGGAATTAATCTTTTGTTTTTCATGTTCATTTTTTGTGGAAAATATTAAACTTTTTACTATTTAAAACAGTTTTGATAGCTTGTATAAAAATAAATACTAGCCTTGGACCCCACTGTATCAATTTACTTACTGTTTACCAATAAATAAAATAATAGGCTAGCATAATAGGTAGTTTCTAATGAATGATTTTGACCTAGTTATTAATGTAAATGTCTGTCAGTTAGATTTGTTTGTTTTGAGTTTTACGTCACATCGACACAGTATAGGTCATATCGCGACGATCCAGCTTGACTGGTGGAGAAAGACCTCAGGTACCCTTCCCTGTCAGTTAGAGCTCTGACTGCAAAATCTTGAGATTTAAAAATTAAATGATACAATGAATAGAACAATATAAGAATTTGGGACTCTACTGGTACAGCAAATATTTTTGACCAGATTGCTGAATTTTGTTACTCATTTATTTATATATAAAACGTCCTAATTCTAAGATGAAAACCAGAAGATACTGATAAACTTACCGACACCAAGCTTTGTATTTGCTGTGAAGCAAGGCATGCCTCTATCTTTCAATCTATGTGTCTTGCCATATGGGACAACGTTCACATGTTCACAGTCCATGTTGCTGCATCTGACGTAAAGAAAACCCGATAACCCTTTCCTTAACTCACCAACAAGAGAATATTTTGTTAAGGCTACTGGTCCTAGCTTACATTTCACACAGTATTCTAATTTATCTAAGAGAACGCCCAGCTCCACAATCCGCCGTCCAACTCTCCACCCATCTCTGTCAACATTTCCAGGCAAATTCACGTTTGTATCACTTTGTCTGCACTTAGTTAAACTCGAATCTAATGAAGAACGTTCTTCCGAATAATAATTATGATCATTACAAGTTGATCGTGATCTTTTGCACTTGTTCTTCGTTAATTTCTTCGCCGTGAACCGGCCTTTTGTATCTCGCAACGCCATTTTGAAATGCCAGGATGTAACAGTGTAGTTCCCGGTGCTCGATTAAATTTTTAATTCCAATGCAGGGAACCATGTTCGGAATAACGGAAAAGTCCGATATATACCGGAAAATGACGGTAAATGTCGAAATAACACGAATTAACCGGAAATGTATTACCCAGGTCTTACCTTAAGTGCACCAAAGATGACATATATTTGGCTGTAAGTTAACTTACACTCTTGCATTAAAGTTGCACTATATAAACTTAAACACGAACGCATTTGCTTCTAATAATCACATATTTTGTTGTTAGTGTCAGCTTCAGGACCTACTGCACTATTCTGTACTGGCTGTCATTACAGAAAGTCATGCAATACCATAATAAATTCAATGCCAAAGTACTCAATTTCTGTACATTTATTGAAAAAGCTTGAATGCTGGTATGGTATATTGCAATTTTATAAATAAGACACAAACATGTACGAGTATGAGTAGCAGCTTTCTTTTTTACAGTAATAACACCATGAAGTACTAGTTGCATTATAAAAATACTCTTTGTTAACGATATTCTGTCCTCTGCGTGTTTACCAATGTATTTGTTTCATGTCTTCTTATGTATTAAAGTACAATGGCACATGGCGTTCATTGAATGCCGCCTTTCCTTGTCGATCTTGTTTATCATATTTTAACATATTTATAATCTCGCCTTGTTATAAAGAAACATATACTTGTAATATCATGTTATTAAATAAGAACTGGTGATTAACAACATAAATAGCTTATTGGGCAGCGTATTATATGGACAGTTTACTTTCCCTTATTTCATTATCGAATTATATGTTATTTTGCAGAATAAGCGAAAACTAACACCCTTAAAATATGATACATTTTAAAAAATGAGGACCATCTTAAAGATTTACAATCAATTTGAACACAAACTATTTATATGTGATGTTTATTGTCCTAATTATCTGCAGGTGAAATGTAAATACTTCAATAACAATGAAATAAAGATTGAGACCTTTAGAGTTGCATTCAAAATAAGCTTTGTTCTATATATCATCTTTTCAAAGAAAATTAATTTGCCAACATTACCGTTTTGGTAATTATATCTCTTCAGATCTTGTTTCAATATTCCTCGGTTGCAAATGTCAATTTTAATGTATTTGTTCTGTAATGAGGTTTTCATAACACACAATACAAGTTCAAGAGAATTTAAAATTACTCACATTATTAAGTTAGATAAGGCTCAAGAATAATTAAACGAAAGATTGATCACCTTCAAATTGTGCAAAAATAAGGGAATTGATTTCATAATAGGTAACACTACGCAATAAGCGTTATTATTTCATATGGGATTGTAACAAAATTAGACAAGGACTTTTCTTTGATAATATTAAATTATAATGATTGTACTCAGAAGAATTTGTAAACGTCCAGTCTACATCGTCTGATTCTGGTAAAAATCAGCAATACTCAAGTTTGAAAATTCGCATGTGTAATTTCAATGTCATTTTGAAGTATCGTGTTTTTACAGCGAAGTTTATTGTCGCAGAACTTAAGACCCATTATAGATATAAGCATGTGTATTTCAAAAATGGTTAACAAAATGGTTATAATTTATGTTCAATGTAAAATTGATCCAAGTACATGTCTTAACTAAACATCTTACAATATGGCTTGGATGAATGTTCAAGACCGTGTATGCTACAAGCTGGTTCATCTTATCCGACAGGTACGTCACTTAATGTATAAAGTACACAGTTGAGCGCATTTGATCGGTATTTGATCAATATGAAACAATAATTTACAATAATATAACTTTTAATGCCCCGAAGGAAGACAAATATTTTTTAACTGTAGCTATGTCCGTCGGTCCATCAATAATCTCCGAACACCTTAACATTGAAACAATGAATTCCCTTCTCCATGAATAGCTGTCTGATCTTAAAAATGACATTTTGTTGCTCAAGTATTGATTATATAATTTACGCTCTTCTTTCATGAATTTTAAAAATGCATTTCACTTCTATGGTTTCAGGTTGCCTGTATTTTCAATCGGGCACATTCCACCATTCGACAGCTTTGGTTAAAATATGATAAACAAGAAAAGGCGGCGTTCAATGAAGTTCAGGTTAACTGGTAGTGTTGATACAACGGCGTCCGAAGAGAAAAGTGACAACACAGCAACAAGATCGTTTCATTGTTCTCAGTCACTTACGGGATCGTTTCATGCCGGCAACAAAAACAGCAAGGCAAACACTTGGCATACATTATCGTCCTGTTCATACTCAAACAGTAAGAAATCGTTTTACGAACGCGACGCCCAAGGAAAGTCCCAACTCTTACTGCAAGATACAGGCATAATAGATTGGCTTGGGCAAGACGACATTTGATGTTCACAAGAGCTGACTAGACCAACGTCTTGTTCGTTGATGAGATTAGAATCAAACTTCGCGGGCTCGATGGACGTGATCGTGTGTATAGGCGACGAGGTGAGCGAAACTCTGAGTCATGCTTATTTCAGGCTGATCAGTTCGGAGGTGGCTCTATAATGATGTGGGCTGGTGTATCTATGCACACGAAGACTCCAATCATCCCTATTCAAGGCAATCTAAATACAAGGAGATACCAAACAGACATCATCCAGCCAATTCTTATTCCATATGTTCGCGCGATTCATGGAATGATTTTAGCCCAGGATAATGCACCCTGTCACGTCGCTAGAGGTACCATGGCTATGTTTGCTGCCAAAAATGTAAGGACTCTCCAATGGCCTGCAAGAAGTCCGGATTTAAATCCTATCGAAAATATTTGGGATCTTCTAAAGAGACATGTAAGAGCCCGGCCACAACAGTTAAATATTGCCGACCTAACGAGGGATATTATCCAAGTATGGGCTGCAATTCCCCGAGCGGTATCTTCAAAGATACATTATATCCATGAGGTCAAGGTGTCGTGCCGCTGCCGGAGTACAAACAACCTATTGAATGTCAAGCTAAATCTGATAAAAGTTCGCAATCTCGTAAAAATTGCAGCTCTTATTACAATTTTAACCTTTAACCTCTTTTAGACGTGTTTTGTCGGCTTTTCATCCCCTATCTTTTTGAGGCCTCAGATAGTAAAAATGACCTTTTTTGGCCCCAAACACTTAATTTCGTTTTGAAAATTTTGTCAAAAAATGATCACTTTTTTCGCGCCATCCCCTATAAAAAAGGCGCACTAAGGGTGTGCAAGCGGAGGATGTGCCCCCTTCTGCTTGGGGAGAGGAGGTGAAAGGAGTCGGCCCCTACATTGCCAAGAAAACTTTGGACTTGTGAGAGGCTAAAAATGGTTTAAAGTCGATCTTAATGTAGCATGTAACCAATGTTGGAAAGCCTTTGACTCTATCTCAATCCATTGAGAATTTGCAACACTCTGAAATCAGTTTTGATGGTAAAACTTCAACGCAAAATACCAGTATATATTTTGGCAATTTTGTGAGATGTCCCCAGTTTCCATGGTAGCAGGAAATTTAAGATTTAGCATGCTTTTACAAAGGCTATGCTATGATCATGTCAACATATGTGCCAAGTTTGATCAGTATTGAAGCATTTTTAAAGTTTCAAAGCAGTTTAAAATTGTAACAGATGGCTTTTCAATGAAACAGCCATGTTTCACAATATACTCATGCAGTAAAAAGTAAGATTTTACCTTTGCATTTTAGGCAATGAAACAGTATTATTTGGAAAGTAAATGTTTCCTTATATTTTTAGCAGCTGCTTTAATTTATGTATGATTATTAAAGCAAGATACAGCAAGAGAAAATAAAAGTTATTCGATCGTGATCTATATTTGAAGCAAATAAATGTTACTATTGAGAGCATTTATTTATGACACTTCTAGTATGGCAAGACTAATTCAGAAAACTTTTGCAAGAGAAAAAGTTACCTTTCTAGCATGTAATTCTAACAAAGCTTTTTTTACTAACGGTATTGTAAAACATTATACTATGTGGACCTGTGACGAAGTTTGTAGAGCACTCTCTTTTCTTTTAGACAACATTTATGTCAGGTTTGGTAATACCCTATTTAAACAGATCATAGGAATTCCTATGGGTACTAATTGTGCACCCCTGGTCGCCGATTTGTTTTTGTACTGCTATGAAAGAGACTTTATGTTGAGTCTCTCTGAAGATAAACAACAAGATGTTATAGTCGCATTTAATAATACTTCCAGATACCTTGATGATATTTTTAATTTAGATAATCCTTATTTTGATCAAATGGTGTCTGACATTTATCCGCATGAACTACAACTTAATAAAACGAACTCTTCAAATTTTAGTACATCATTTTTGGATCTTCATATTACTATAAACAACAATTCTATTCACACGAAAATCTATGATAAAAGAGATGACTTTGACTTTTGTATAGTTAATTATCCACATTTAGATGGAGACGTACCCCATGCAACATCTTACGTGTTTATGTTTCCCAGTTAATTACATTCGCTAGAGCTTGTAGCAACGTAAAGGATTTCAACGAGCGGAATATTTTTATTACCAGCAAGCTTCTAAAACAGGGCTACCGCTATCATAAATTACGGAAATATTTTACTAAATTTTACAATCGTAACTTTGATTTAATTTCCAAATTCAATAGTGATTTAAAAACTTCTGCGACAAGGGATTAGCCAGCCTGATTTTTATGGCGATGTGATTTACAAAAAGTATCCCCGTACATTTAATCAATGATGTTATATTTTCGATCCTTGAAGACCGTTCAGCACGACATTATTGTTGTGTCAGCACGACATTATTGTTGTGCTTGTGGTATTTTTAGTTTCAACTTTTCGGCATTTTCTAGTTGGGTGGTTCCAATATTCCTACTTGAATAATGTTTCGGCATTTTCTAGTTGGGTGGTTCCAATATTCCTACTTGAATAATGTTGAATCACCCTTAGGATATGTTGCCTGCTTTTTAAATTTGTCTTTTGACGTCTTATCTGTGATACACAGGCTTCATAACCTCTGATCCCCTTTCAAAATTCCATTTTATTTAGTTCCGTCCATTGTTTTCTCGTTTAGGGCACACGCTTTTTATTACTTGGGGGACCATACGCCGCTTTTCATGGAATGGCACGGAAGTTTCACATTGAAGGTTCCATGATAACCGCCGTATGAACACATCTGCGGATGTTTCT